GGAACTATGAAGAGGACTTACTTTTCAGCAGCTACTGACTCTGCAGGTACTGAGGAGGAGAAGAGTTACATGTGGGGACAGATTTTGAGGAATCATGACTATACTAACATAATGGCAACACTTGTGAGAAAGTTTTGCTTTCTCTGACCTTGATATAGTTACAGACCACATTACTGAGCACATTAATGTGCCACATTAATGTGCCACATTACTGAGCACAAGTAAAAGCAACGAGTAAAGGTAGGTTGCTTTGTGCATGGTTTCCTTGACAAGTACCTGTATTGGCTACAGCTGCAAGCATGCTACAAACCTCCTTTAAAATCATAGAAAAGCTCACGAGAAGCATCATGCACCAAGAAACATCTTGTCAGATTGTGTTAATGCTGAAATGTGAGGAGTACYGAATGAGTATTTCCCTCTTCTAAGGTTCTTGCAAGAACTGACAAAACATTRTAAGCCAGTGTTATGCCAAGCAAATATTTGTGGGGGCTAAGATTTTCATGCTGAGCTGAGAACAAAATGCTTTGCAGAAAGCTGTGGCATGCTGTCTAGCCTGCTTGTTCCCCTTGCACAGGGAGAGCTTTGTATTATATCAGAAAGTTATTTATTTACCAGATGATCCGCCACTATGGAAAACAAGACGCACAACGCTGAGGCCGGCGTGCCCTGTAAGCAAGAGCAGGTCCCTAAGGGGCTGAGTGAGGCCTGTGGTGAGGATGGGCACAGCCAGAGCAGGCTCCAGGGGCACCACATCCATGCAGAGCTCCCCCAGGAGAACTGCTTGTCTGCTGCAGCCTCAGCAACACCTGAATTTTTGGAAGGGGTGAAGACATTTGGTAGAGGTACCTGCTGTGCTGGGAATATCACTGTGCACGTGGTGAGCACAATTCCTTGTCCTCAGKAGGGTGCCGGTGTCTGAAAGCCTTGGCCGGGAGGAAGCTCTGCTCCTGCTCACCCCCACTATCTCCTCACCTCCGTTAGCTCCAGCGGTAGGTGACAATGGTGCTGTGGGGGACAGCTGGCTAGAGGCCACCGGGCTGCATCCCACCTCCCTGTTCACAAAGCCAGCATGGTTGCTTTGCACTGACGTGGAGATCTGGGTCACCCAGGCCAGGATGTGCAGTCTCCATTCCCAGCATTAATATCCAATAAATCTAGGATCTCTGCTCCTTTTATGTTGCCTCTAAGAGACAAATGTTTCAGAGAGCGTTTTGTGTCTGCAGTTTGGTCAGATGTACAAGGTACTAGAACTTATACTACAGATGCAGTAGTAGGTACAAATATAGCAGAGTATTTTAGAGAGGATTTTTGTGTAGAGTTTTGAAAAGTTACCTATAGCTGCCTGGGGTGTTCACACATGTAGCTCCATTCTGGCAGCCTAACGCTGTTCCAGCATAAATCTGGCATTCATTAACATCCACGGAACAGAGCAGGCCCTAAGATGAAATGGAAAACCAGTTTATTTTCCAAATAACTGAGAAATGAAGTAAACCATGTAGCTAATGTTTAATATCATTTCCAAAGATATATAAACTATGGGCCGCTATTAACACAGGTTTCCTTATAAAACGTTAAAACAAAACCCTATGGTTCAGCTGTGTTTGTGACCCTAGGTATCAGTCAAACAAGGSATAAAATATTTCAGATGTTTATAGGAAGCATATGGACATCACAGCACTATCATTCCCTATACTTTCCAACTTCCTAGCAAATGGCTCAGAAAACTTTCTGGCAAACTGTTTTTGCATTTGCTTGTTTTACATGATGCTGTTTTATTAAAAATAAAAAAAGAGTTATTTTTACCCAATTTTGCTGGGACAACTTTCAGGTTGAGCACATTTGAGAAAAAGATAGAACTTTTCAGTCTTCAAATGCATGCTCGAGACCCACTGAAGTCTTTGAATTTCAAAACTCAGAATGAGATTGGTTACATACACACACATTTGTTTTATTTCCTGAATAAACAGCCTTCTTTTCACCCATTCTCTCTGTCTCTTCACATAAGAGCAACAGCAAGGTATGCAGTTTAGTTCACTCTGCTCAGCAGTGTCATGCAAAGCAGTGAAGGGCCTGGTCATCAGTTTGAGTTTGGGTTCTTTTTGATATATTGATTTTTTGAGAAGCAAATGTTCTTAAACCAAATGAAGAGTCTGAATCAACTACTCTGCAGTTCAATATGTCCTGAGGAATCTTAAAAAGATACACTATGCCACAAGTGCACTAAGCCGGGATTCAAGAAGCTAAAGACTCACCTGCCAGTTGCTGGGACAGAGGCAAAGGAAGCCATCCAGCAAGTTGACACAGGTCCCTGAGTTCTGGCAGGGGTTGCTGCTGCACTCTTTCCTTCCGATAGCCTGAAACACAGGCAAAGAGCAGGCAATGAGGTTAGGTGAAGTTCCCTTAGCATTCACTTCCAAGACAGACCTTTTTATTTTCTTTGCTTTTTCTCTTTCTACCTTTTTTTTTCTTTCATTTTCTCTTTTAATCAGGTTGCTTTGCAAAGGTTTTGACCTGCTGATTTGTTCATATCTGCACAAAATAGTGACTATGATTTGCTTTACACAGTGTGGCCAACTGCAAATACTGCAAAGAGGAGAGCTCTGTAAGAAACAACCATGAATAGGGGCAGTGCCTCTATTCTAGCAGAGTGTTTGTGGTTCTAGCTGCAAGATTATCTTGTCTTCTTTGTTTCCTGTACTGGCAGCTGTAGCTTTACCTTTGTCACAAGCTCACAGGCAGAGAAACAGCTGAAAGTTCAAAATGTGCTATTTCCAGCACAATGAAACAATCCAGTTTTAATTCTCAAGTCTTCATCTTGACAGATCAGTGAAGGAAGAGTTTATTTTTCCTTAGTATCTGGTGTTATTCTTGATCTACAACTGTTTTTCCTTTAAGGAATGCAGGCTCCTACATAGTTTATATTTTGTAGGAAAGGATATCACCTCCTCTATAAATCTAGGTTTTTGGTTTTTTTTTTAATACCTCCTGTTAGCACAGAAAGTTTTCCCAAACAATGCATGAAAGAAATCATTCCCTATTTAATCACTGTAACCTCACTTTATTTGTTTGGAGCTGGGCTTTTCTTTTTTGATCTATAGTTTATTTCCCAGTTACTCACCTGCTCTAAAGTTTGAAGCTGGCTGTTGAGATTCACTACCTGCAACAGAAATTCAAGTTACATTGTGCTTGGCATTATAGTGATCATAGAGATATGTGCTGGTTTGAATGTATGCTAGGATGTTGGTTGCCAATAGGCTAGCAAAGTATTTTCTTTTGGGAAAATAAAATAGCTGTTATGTCAAACAAGTGGCCAGCTGGGCTCATATCAGTCTGCAAACACTGGGATTTCAGTAGGCTCTTTGGAAAATCACAGCTTAAATATGTCAGTTTGGCTGCACAAACAAAGATAGTCTTGTGAAGATGTATTCCAGTGCTTAACTTGAAAAATGCAAATATTCTAGTAGGATTGCTAAGGCCTGCTTGGGCACACGAAACCTGCTCTTGGAGACAAGTACACTGAAAGTCAAAATCAAATGCTCACTATATCTCAGTGGGTTGCAACTACAAATATCAAGTTGAAAYTGAGTCAGTGAAAATGATGGATATATGGGCAGTTTCTCTAGGAGTAGGTCTGTTGGGCTGTAAAGAAATTGTGGCAACAGCCTAACTGGCAACCACATGACAGAAAGAACTCTGAATCCTCAGTTGGAGAAGTATCTTCAGTAGCAGGGAACAGACTGAACTGCCTCACAGGTCTGTTCCTTACACTGCTAATTTCTATAGCCCAATTCACATATGAAAGGGACTATTCTGTGTAACACAGAAGAATATACRTAGTCCATTTTGTGAATTTAATGGGATTTCACTTCATAGAGATRATGACGGTGAAAAACTGAACAATCCTGCTACCTGGGAGCTAAGCAAATTGCAGAAATATTCCCACTGCCGGCAGAAATGCTGAATCAGGCCGTGCACGTGAGCCAACAGAGACTCCGAACTGAAGTCCAGAATATTGAAATGTATCAGGTCAACATGTTAACTTGAGGAATAAACCTCTAATGGAGCACGCACAAGACTCACCTTGGAATTCAGCAAGGCAATCTGATCTGACGTGTTCTGAGAGGCACCAAGGCCTTTCCTAAGTTCTTGAATATCAACAGTATTTTGCCTCACCTACATTTAGAAAAGAAAGTAGGATGGTGTGAAACACAAGCTTTACTTGCTCAAAAGATTAGAAGTTTAATTCTTACTGTTATAAAGTCCAGAATAAAATACAGAGTTCTGTTCCATACACAATTTTTTAGTTACTTAATGTAATACGATCACTTTATGAGTCTTTAATAGCCTGCATTCACATTAAAGGGCTGACAAAGATAAGATAAAGGAACAATCATAAAAGCTACATCAAATTTGCTATGATAATTTTTAAAGAAAATTAAACTGTTAATGTGGAAGATTCAAAGTGAAAACATATTAAGAAAAAGTAGTTGTATCACCTGACTAAAAAGCTCTGCAAGGTCTTCTTCATTAATTTTTATTTTCCCCAGTGGTCCAGTTCTAAATTCAATATTTTTGCTGGAGCCAGTGTGGAACACTAAGTTACCCTGCTCAGAGGACAAACGAGGCCTGTTGTGGTAGGGGGAAAAAAAAAAGAACATTTAGCTACACATATCTGTCAAAAAGTATGGAAAAAAAAAATATGCATTTAAGCCTTCTGTTCCCATGAACAGCACTTAAAAGCCAGTACAGAGCAAATCTGTTTGCAATAGCCACTAGCCGCAGTACTTACTGCTCATCATAAGCGTCTCTTTTCTGCCTCTTTTTTTCATAGAGGTTCGGCTCAGAGCTCAGTCCAGAGAGCACCAAGGAGGCCACGACAAGGGCCGGAACCACCACAGGCCCCGGCATGGCTGCCCGGGCCCGGTGTGAAGCGAAACCTCCCGTGCTGAGCTGCACTTTGGAGAGCCGGGCGCCCTTTGCTCCCATCCAGCTCTTCCCTCACAAGGTGCCCATTCCGCTGTCTTGCCACGTTCAGGGTAAACTTTATCTCGAGTATCTTAAAGATTTACAGTATGCAAATAGCCTAGACATTAAATACATCATTCCCTCCCCCCCGTTCTTTTCAAGAGCTTTGAAAGATAATTAAAATCTACTCGGATTTAATCATTGTCCCTCTGGCCTTTGTACAGCCAAGCACCCTCTGCCTTGAAGAACCTGCTAACCCGCAGCTGGCAGCTCTGGGACCCATAGCACTTAGGTAAAGGAAATAAGTATTTGGCAGCTATAAAAGACTTTGAAAAAAAAAAATATATGTAAACTGCAGTGGTTGGCAAGGCTTATTTTTATCGAAGGAGAGGCTTCCAGCCAGTAATTTATTGGACACATGACACAAGTCAGCAGTATCACACACAGTCCCATGAATTGCAACAGCAGAGACAGTTTTAATCAAATACAGTTGCTCTGGCTTGGGAATGGCTCGGCCCCAGACGCTGCGGAGCTGGTGGCACACCAAGCAGCCGCATGGTACTTGGGAATGGCTCGGCCCCAGAC